TCGAGAATTTTTCACTCGTATTCAAACGTCCGTATTGTCAATGAAAAGTGGCATTTTAGAATTTAGACCAATACTTTGCACTTGGAGCTTGAGCAATAAGGGATCTTTTTCTTCCAACACCTACTGCAACAAGGACCAGCTTTTTAAAAAGTTGCCTGACTCAATCAATCAATATCTGCATGAGGAGTGATAAACCTTTTGAGCAATACTTTTGTTTTTGAGAACCTTGCGTAAATGAAGTAAATACTACAGTATTTTGCATCAGTAATATTATTCTTTTTTCTGAAAACTGACTCTTTTAAATTGCAGGTAAAGAATTCCAATGTAAATCAGCTTGCACAAAATCTAGCTTTCTAGGTATTCGGATCTTGTAAATATCAATCCTTATACAGCCTGATGCCGTGACGTCATGTATGGAACGCCATCACTGCCTTATAGCAGAACACTGCGATTACATTGTGTCAACGTTCCATTACATTATGTCAACTCTTTATGACATTTACTCGCACTGCTATTGCATTGTGTCAACTTTCCTTTACATTAGGTCAACTCTTTATGACATTAACCCACACTATTATTGCATTATCTCAACTTTCCATTACATTACGTCAACTCTTTATGGCATTAACCCACACTACTATTGCATTGTCTCAACCTTCCATTACATTATGTCAACTCTTTATGACATTAACCCACACTACTATTGCATTGTCTAAACCTTCCATTACATTATGTCAACTCTTTATGACATTAACCCACACTACTATTGCATTGTCTAAACCTTCCATTACATTATGTCATCTCTTTGTGACATTTACTAACACTACTATTGCATTATCTCAACTTTCCTTTACATTAGGTCAACTCTTTATGACATTTACACACACTACTATTACATTCCGACAACTTTCTTTTACATTATGTTAACTTTTTTATGACATTTACTAACACTTCAATTATATTGCGGCAATCTTTCATTGCATTATATCAGCTCTTTGTGACATTATGTCAAAAGATTTTTACGTGGTGTTAAGATACATTTATATAATTTCAACTCAGTATTACATTATGTGCACTCTCTACTATTTGGTCTAAGTAATTCATTACCTGATGTGAATTTATTTTAATTTGATATCAAGTCGCTATAATACAATGTCAGAATTTCATTATATGATGTCAAAAAATTGTCACATATGGTCAATTCTTTTACTACATTATGTCATCAATATGCTACATGACGACGTGAATCAATTTCATGATGTGAATTTGCCCTTTCTTTTTGACAAATCGTTATTACGTTATGTCATTGTATCTTTACATTGTGTCAAAAATGCTCAGCCTCTTGTCAGCATACATGTATCTTAGGCTATTTCGTATTGATCAGATGTGGAAAGCTCATATCATACTGTGCGCACTCTTCTACATTATGTCGATTCACTATTACGTTATGCGAACACGGGTATCCTCGGCCTTTATATGAGCATAACGTATTTTCCGCGTTCCGCAGCACTAAAAATGGCGGGAGAGAAAACAGTCGTAGAAGAAATTCTCGGCGATTTGGGAATGGCATATTAAATGAAAACGAAAAGCGACAAATGATTGACAATCTTGAAACGTGCAGCGCAATGCCTTCACACTGTAACTGTGAATTAAAGTCAGATTCGAATTTCAATGGCGTTTACTTAAATCTGATAATTAAATAAATCAAATATTATGAGTTGAGCAGCATTTTTTCATTTTGAATTGTTTTTTTTTTATAGAAGTCTTAAACTTCTTATCTTATTAGGAACATTGTCATATGTTTTTTTTTTATCAGTCTCTACCTCTCCTTTTTATTAAAGTGTTAACACACCGTATAACAAACGTGCAACGGTGGGTTTGGGGTTGGGGGCAAGAATCCCGTCCTTCCATCTTTAGTGACCAAAATATACATAAGATTAATAAATTTATTGGTTTTAATTTGTAGGACATTGCATAAGATTAGCTGAATTAAGTTGAAATCTTTTTTTCTATAAAACTACAAAGCCTAGGAGCCCCCCCCCCCCTTGGTCTCCAACCATATACCGTCCCCCTTCCTTGTTCAAGATTCCCATATCCGCCACTGATATGTGCCCATGCATGCTTGCAAAGGCATATTCAACTGATTTAGACTGGTATATAGATTTTTGTAATACAATTCTGGCACTGGAATGGTTGAAAAATTTACTAATTCCTTCTTTGAAAGGGGAGGTCAGCCAAAAAAAAAATTCTACTCGAAAAAAAAAACAGTCCTAATTTTTTTTTCTCAAATATACTACATTACCCTTAGTGGACTATGCTTCAGGAAAAAGTGGGGATGGGGCTGTGCTTTCCATGAACATTACATTTTCTATAGTAAAGTTATATATGAAAAAAGAGGGGGGGGGGTGATATTATGTGCCTGAAATTCGTCCTAATCAATAAGGAGCACCCCCCCCCCCCCTCTCTTACCAGTCATTAAAACACGGTCGTCAACATTCATTATATACCACATATACAGCTTTGAGATAATGAAAATGTATTTTTACATCAGGTAATGAACTTTTGGAATCAACATGATGAAGAATTAACACAATATAAAGATATTTTTAAATCACATAAGAAAAGGTTGACATAACGTAATTATATATCCACATCACGGAATGGAGTTTTGACATAATGTAATAAAGTTTGATATAATATAAAGATATGTTCACATTATTTTATACACTTTTTACACCATGTAATAAAGCACTGACATAAAGGTAAGATGTGTTCACATCACATCATGATGCTTCCGACTTAAAATAAAGATAAATGCATATCACGTAATAATGTTTTGATATAATAGAAATATACACTCTCAAAAAGGAATGGACTTTTGACTTCATGTAATGATAAGATTAATTATAAAACACAATTTGCTTGACATAATGCAATTTTGACCTCGCATATTAAAGAAATGAAATGATGTAAAGAAGCATTCATTTCACGTAATAAAGTTTTAACACAATGTAAACACATAACCACTTCAAATAATGGATTTTTTACTTCAAGTTATGAAGTGCTGACATAATAAAAGAATGCATTTACTTCATGTAATGCAGCATTGACATGATGTTAAGATATTTTCACATCATCTCATAAAAATAGACATAACGCAAAGATATGTTCACATCACGTAATGGTAAATGACATAATAAATGCATAGTTGTATGCTATAAGGCAGTGATGGCGTTCCATATCATGCAACAAAAGACCTTGGTTTATATGGTCTCTTTCGAATGATGTATCAAAGTCTCGCAATGGGACTTGAAAAGCGACGTAAGGACGTAAGTCTTACTTCACGACTATCCAGTTGCGTAAATAAAACCAATGATATGACCCAGTGACTTTATAATAATCATTCAGCATGCATTCATTGTTACATTTTATTGATATTAAACATCTGTTAATGTCTATTTCTTGACTGTTTCATGGTTTTGCCGATTCCCCCATACAATTAATCTAACGGATATAAATGAGACACGAATATAACTGATACAGTTGATTCTTTTGGTTCTTAAAAGCATCTTTAATGTCTGTCTTTTATGCTAAAAATAACTGTATCTGCGTTTTGTTTTAGACTTGATTATTTGGAAGCTTGACTTCTTCACTTGTCAGATTTTTTTCTTTGAAGAATTGTTAATATTGATTTTCTTCCACAAAATGGAAAAAAATCGTTTATCTTGAGGTTTCTCGAATATCAATAAAAATCAATGAAAAATAGAAAATATTCCTAAAATATATTTTCCTTGAAGCAGAAAATTTTGTTTAAAGTGGTCCTTCAGATATCCGGAAGCCAGATATCCGGATGCTTCAGTATCCGGACGATTTTGCATCGGAGCAGACTTTTTTAAACCTTATTATGTCTTGTTTAACTGGTAATTCAGATATCCGGACAATTCACATATATCCGGAAAAATTGACTAGGAACCAAGGTGTTCGGATATATGAGGCTCCACTATACGTGATTGTGAATTCATACCAAAGCTTTTGTTTCTTCATTGTCACTTTCAATCTTAACTACTTTATTTCACACAGGTAAGAATTAGGAAAGTTAAAGGGTCTTTTAAAAAAATCCATGAATATTCTAATTCTAAATATAATGATATTTTAAAACTTTATTTCAATGAATACCATATTCTACCCTGTTATATAATAGAAAACTCGTGGTACGGTACGTGTGAGCACTGAGCTAAGAAAATTATACCACCCTCCCCGCCTCCCATTTGATTATAATATGGCGAAGTCAAGTTTCACTCTGAGAAACCCAAAATAAGTATCAGATCAAAATGTAAAATAGCAGGTACACAATGTAGTAAAGAATCTGAACATATAATTACACTTATTCAGTGGTAAAGGAGGAATTCCAGAAAAGAAATAGGTATACCCCTCAATATTAGAGAAAGATTGGCTTTGTCAATAAGAAACCCGAAATACGTATCCGATCAAAAAGTAAAATAGAAGGTCACAATGGCACTGTGTGACAGAGATTCTGTGAAAATCAAACTAAATGTCATTGAGTGCTCTAAGAGGACTTGTGGATAAGAGATGGGTATCCTAAAGCATACAGACGAACATCCTCATCACTATATACCCAACTGCTTTTCAAGAGAGGGGTAAAAAAAATTACATTCGTCATGTAGATTACTTAAATACATTGCCATTTTTTTGTGAGATAACTATTTTAAATTTATAAACGAGATAAAATTTTCGCGAGCAGGCAGAGTGTTGTACGTGAGCCTTAATGTATGCAAAAATGTAATTTTCGCGGGCAGATCAGGGTGATTACGCAAAAATACAATTCCTGCAAACAGAAAGTGGTAGGAGATTGGATAAATAGTTAGCAATGTAGAAAATTTTGCAACAATATTTTACATTTGTAATGTTTTTTAGCAGAGACATATATGATTTTTGTCTCGAGAACTAAAGATAGACCAATTAATGAAAATAATAATTACCAAAAGGTTCTGCTATTTCCTCTTTAAATATCTGATCAACATTTCTGTGTTTTGGATCCGCCTTCCTCAACAACACGTCTACATACATTCCAAAGGTTATTACATGGTAGGAGTATGCTGTACCTGTAAGTAAATTAGATGAACTATTTTACAAATCATTGCTGAAAGCGATTAAAACCTGTCCTTAAGATGTACCCTCAAAGGTGCGATTGTTTCACGTGTCTGTTAGAGGGCTGATATTGTTGTATCGGGTTGATGCAAGATTTGACACAAGGAAAAAGGTCTTGTAATATTCTCTATTTTTCAGTCCAGCAAGATCCCTATCAGCCATGAAAGTTGGTATGACTACCGAGAGGTAAGGCACATTACACAAATGCAAAAAATCGGGATGCCAGTCCGTCCGTCTGTTACGCTTTGGAGTACCCATCTCTTATCTGCAACTCCTCTTATACCACTGAATGATTTGATGAGACTTTCAAAGAATATTTATAACATGTTGCCATTGTGCACCTCTTATTTTACTTTTTGATCCAACACATATCTCTGGTTTCCCATAGCAAAACATGGACACTGCCATTACATTCATATATGGGAGGTGGGGGTATCATTTAGTGAGTTCATTGCTCACAGTGCCTCTAGTTATTACTATATTTAAAATTAAAAGATATAATTACTAGTATGAATGTTTAAAAAAAAAACAACTGAGATTGAATTGCTACCTGGTTTCCAAATCGGCTCCTGTTCCTCTAAAAACTCCTCCACTTTTGTTTGGTTTGTTTTCAGAAGCCGTATATCAATTGTTCCTTTTGTAATGGATAACCCGGCCTTTAAGTAAAATCTACATAATACTACATCTTTTATATATGTAACATTATAAACTTGTAAAATCTAGTGAGCTTTGGGTATGATTTACTTTGTTTTATAACTCCATTGTTAAAGTCGATTTATAATATCTTACAACGTTTCTAAGAATTTGATGAAAGATATGGATTCGGATTATAAATTTACCCTAGATACTGAGCTAGCAATTCAGATAATTTAAGCAGCTATACCTTTGCCACACGTCATTCGTCTTGTATAAAGAGAATAATTTGTGTTTATGTAAAATACCGTTTGGTGCCACAAAATTAAACTGTTCAATTCGGATAATTAAAAGAAGATTGATATAAACAGGATTAAGCCATATTTCCAAACCTCTGTGAATAATCTCTTAACCGAATGATACAGTTTCACCATGCAAAATAACTGTTCATGTGCCACTGAAGCTCTACTGGTTTGTACTTATAACAAAGGAAGAGAAAAGTATTTAGGCAGTTGGGAATTGAAACTTTACAACAGCAATAAATAGAATAATGATCCTTGATTAAATCTCTTTATGTTCTTAGTGTAGTCTACTTGTATGCAACATTATATTATAATCAGACTAAAACTGTATTTGGAGTAGCATCTTTACGGATTACGGAGTATTTTACGGAAATTTCTATTTTTAGTAACCAAGGCAATAATGTTCATTGAAGTCAAAAACCGATATACAGAATTGTGTATCTAATAATCGTAGTGTAGTCTACTTGTGTGCCAAGTTATATTGAAATCAGACCAAAACAGTAGGAGACATAGCATTTTGAAAGAATTTCACAAAAATTTATATTTTTAGTAACCACGGCAACACCGTTCATCAAAATCAAAAACGATAAAAAGAATTATGTACCTTGGTGTAGTCTACTGGTGTGCCAAGTTATATTAAAATCAGACCAAAACTGTAGGAGGAGTAGCGTTTTGAAAAATTGTTTACAGACAGACAGACAGACGGACGGACGCCGCATTACTATCGCATAAGCTCTTCTGATCTCTGACCAGTAGAGGTAATAAATTCAAAATTATTTTAGATATAAATTAGATGCCCTCATAAGCCAGATATACATGTATTTGATTATGAAAATGAAAAATTCGAGACCTGAATGAATGAACACCTACAGGATACCGCCAATCATATTCTAAAGATGATATGGCTTCTGCGAAAAAATGAAAGGAGAGACAGAAAATATGCATTAAGTAAAAAAAAAAAGACCCCTAAGGAAATGAAAATATACTAAATAAAATAAATTGCGTATTTTTTAGACTCCACTAATCATTTTCCAAAATATAACTCTGCAACTCGTAAAATGTTAGGAGAAATCTTCAATCTCAGGTGATTGTTAGAGAAAACAAGTTGTGTTTGTGAAACACTGATGCCCCCGTATGGCAACATAGCGAAGGTTAAGCTTTCTCAAATGCAGATAAAATATGTTGGTACCAAAGTAAGGCCTTTTCACAAGAAATGCAAAATATAAAACGCTAGCTACACTTGTTCCAGGGTTATGACCAAGGTTAACATTTTATAATATATAGGACAAACTCCGGGTCAAGGTCAAAGGGTCAAGGTTGTTGTGTTCTAAAGAAAGGCATTGTCTCAGAGATTACGTTTGTGAAGTATAAAGGCACTGGCCCTTACCATTCAAAAGTTATGACCAAGGTTAAAGTTTGTAAAAAGTAGGTCAAACTGCAAGGTAAGATCAAGGGGTCAAAGTTGTTGATATCCAATGAAAGGTCTTGTCACAAGGATTACACAAGTGAAATATGAAAGCTCTAGCCCCTACTGTTCAAAAGTGATGGTCAAAGTTAAAGTTTGTAAAAAATAGGTCAAACTCCAAGGTCAAGGTCAAAGGGTCAAGGTTCTTGATATCAAATGAACGATCTTGTCACAAGAATTAAATTTGTGAAGAATGAATGCCCTAGTCCGAACCCTTAAAAAAATATGGTCAATGTTGTATTTTGAAAGTAGGTCAAACTCCATGGTCAAGGTCAAAGGGTCAAGGTTCTTGGTATCCAATGAAAGGTCTTTTCATCAGAATTATATATGTGAAGTATGAAAGCCCTAGTACTTATTCTTCAAAAATTATGGCCAAGGTTAAAGTTTTTTCATAGGTACGGAAATCTCCAAGATCAAGGACAAAGGTTAAGGTTGTTGGTATTTAATGAAAGGTCTTTCCACAACGAATACATATGTAAAAAAAAATATATAAATGTTCTGGTATATACTGTTCAAAAGATAAGGTCAAAGTAAAAGTTCTAATTTTTTGTGTAAAAGTCGGACAAACTCCAAGGTCAAGGTCAAAAGGTCAAATTTGGTAGTACCCCCAAAAAGGTCTGTCACAAGGAATACACATGTGAAATATGAATGTCATAGCTTCACTGAATCAAAAGTTATGGGCAAGGTTAAAGTTTTTGCGGACAAACAGACGTACAGAGAGACAGCTAGACAGACGAACGGACGGACACGACAAAAACTACATACCCTCAAATCTTCGATTACAGGGGTATAAAATATTAAGGATTGATTTCGAATTCCAGAGTCAATATCAACAAATGTTGGTCTATATTACATTTTTGATGATACAATTGGTGAAATTGATATATTAACTTCATAGAATTCCTTGAAAATGAACACGTTAATTTAACCTTTTTTAGCCAAATAAAGTTCTCAGGAATGTAAAATGCGGTATATACCTGGTGACTTAGTAACATATCTACAGTAATATTCTCCTTGCCATTCTTCCCAAACTCCGGCCAGTAATAGGACACCCGCTTCTTGTAGTCCAAGTAGCCTCTGAAGTAAAGAGAGGGTACAGGTGAAACATTTCATGATTACGAAGTTATTTTAAAGAAGAAATAAAAACTGTTCTTCATAGATGATTTTTTTTATTACATTTTTAGAGAAAATTTGTTTAGAAAATAATGCGTCTGTCAGATTAACATTATTTTGTCTTTGAGCACGTTTAAGTATCAGTCACATTATCCAGCGATGTAGTATACGATGAGAAACCGATGCGTTTTTGATGAAAATAGCGTGGTTGCCGGCTGGGCACCACTAGTGATCGGACGGTGACTGGGACCATTTTGCGAATCGGTGGGGTTATCGGTAGGAAATAATTCGTAGTTAAAATTCAGCGATGTCTCCAACGATGCCTCACATCGCTCCTCATCGGCAACCCTTCATTAACACATCTTACACGGATATGGCCGAGCATCGTCCAATATCCGCTGAATCTGAGGTCATCGGGGGGTTGAGTGGTGTCCAACAGATAACGGCCGATCATCTATCGATGTTCGACCAAACATTGGCCCGTAGTCAACCGATGTTCGAACGATGTTCACCAATGTATGAGCGATGTAATTTATACATAGGCCGATTATCCTGGAACATTATTTTATGTTTAGCAATGCATCGCTGGGCCTTTGTAAGTCCGGTGTAAAGACGAATAATGACCCCCATCGAATAATGACCGGGGGTCATTTTTCGACAGCGCAAAATGACCCCCGGTCATTATTCGACGTAGAAAAATGACCCTTTTGCCCGTAGAAAGAGTGTCACCACCCTAAAAATTTGCAGAACCCACGTGAAAAAAAAAATGACCCCCGTAGAAAAATGACCCCCTGTAGATTAAAGC